ACCGGACAGCAACGGCCGGTGCCCTCCAATGGTTAGTTTCAACGGTTGAAAAATCGACCGTTGTCAGTGTCAGCGGCACTGGACACCATGTCTGGTGCACCGGACAGCCAGTCCGGTGACCCACTGACGCGACGATCACATTTTCCCCCCTCTCTGAAAAATAGGGCGGTGCACCGGACAGCCTATCCGGTGCCCTGTCCGATGACCATTTTCACCAAGTTCCCGAAAACGCTACTCTCTGAAAAAATAGGGCGGTGCACCGGACGGCTTGTCTGGTGCCCTGTCCGGTGTGCACCTTAGATCAAGGTTCCAAGCAGACACGCGCGCGTGCCGTGGCATCTCATGGACCCTGTCGAGACCCACCAGACAGGCAGTCCGGTGCCACCCAGTGGCAGCACCAAGAGCCCGAACACGCCCTTGCAAGCGATGCTAACTCTTAAATATTTTCACAAACATATTTAGAGCCAAGTTAGCATTTCTAAATAGTTTTTTCATGAACATTTTCGTTTGCTCTCCGTTGTGCATTAGGCCTAAATGCAATGCATAGTTATCCAACACCTAGTGGCACTAGATGACCTAATTGTCCGATAAGAGCTCCCCTCTTAATAGTACGGCTATCTATCCTAAATCCAATCACGTACTCTATTGTGTCTTGACTGGCAAAATAAAATCTCTATTTATACCTTTGCCTTGATCTGCATACGGTTTTATTTTTCTTTTTCTTCTTTTACATGTTAGAGCACTTTATCTCATCTTTTGGCCATCTCCATCACTTGAGTGTCATTTAGCTCCATCACTTGGACTTGGACCAACCTATCTCATAATCACACTTAGACATAGAGTTAGTCCAATAGGTTTCATCAATTAGCCAAAACCAAACTAGGGCTTTTAACCTCGAGGTCCTCGCCCGGTAGGTCCAACTCGGTTTGGGTCTGAACCCCACCGTGTCAGAGCATCGCTACATGTTCTACATGCTGGCGAACGTCCACTACCAAATCGCCACCGGCGAGGTGCTACCGCTGCCTGATTGCTTCTAGTACTACCTACCGGACCTCCCGTATGGGATCTAGAACACAGCGGCGTCGTTCCAGCTCGATGGATGGGGTGCCAGATGGAGCCAGACTGTTTGGCACAACAGAGGCAATAGTACAAAGGGAACGGTCAGGAAGAGGAGAAGACATTGATGATTATATTGAGCGAACCAGACACACATCTCCATCTCCAGTGTACTGTTTCTCTTCCTCTTCTAGTTCTCCCTCATGTACCCAAATCTCTTACTTCCAGTATCTTCTAGAGCCTCCTAGTGTCTTCCTCCTAGCACCTACTATACTGCTTGCTGCTTGTTCCCAAATTGATCCTAGTTGATAGTTGTATTAGACTATTGAGGGCTTGTTATTGGAGAAGTGATTAAGGCTGCTAATAATCTCTTAGCAGGATACCGTTGGATCTTCAACAATACTAGATATTAGTTGCAATATATCCATTGCATGTGTGACCTTTATATTTTATAAGACTTCATTTTTTATTAGAAGAAAAACGTACACATGCGAACTGAGCCTTCCTTGTGGTGGAACCTGTCCACCCAGGTTCAGCTGTCAACTTGGCATGAGTGCTCGTATTTTCCTGGATTTATTCCAAGATCTAACGGCGTTGTGCTTTCAGTGGTAGGCAACGTTCCCGCCGACAGTAAGGCGCCTGTGGTGACTTCGTCAATCTCAAGATGTGCCGGCATAGTCTTTTGGAGGTGCTCATAGAGGTTGGGTTTGCGCATATGTGTTCATAGAGGTGAGTGTGCGTGCGTGTTGAGTTGTGTAATTCACAAAAAAGTTGCACACAAACGTACTCGCACAAAAATTTGTACGCCGTCTACTTATGTACACATATATATTAGTATTGTGTAGGCCTACGCTGAAGAGGTGCACTCATATGTGCTATAAATCTCATATCGTGACCATGGGTTGGACACGCGTGCGCCGCTAACTGAAGCGGCGCACACATCACCGGAACCGAGGACGAAGGGGGCAGGGATTGGGGACGAGCAGAACGGCCAGCGGCAAGGTCGTCGTGGGCTCGCGGCCGGTGCGGTCGTCGACGCGGCGGTGGTGGCACCGGTAGTGGTTAGGGTTTCAATATTTGCAACCATCCATGGCCGACGGCCTTAGAAGGAGGTGCCTGGGGCGGCGACCGGCCAGGTAGTGGTGGCGGGTTGAGGGGGGCTTATCGATGTTTTACCACCGATAGCCTGCCACGGGGGTACCCGGGACAGTTTGTTCGGGCTTCGGCGTATGCCGAACTCGACGGTAAACGCAAGAGACAGTCGATTTATCCTGGTTCGGACCCTCGACCGTGATCGAGTAATAGCCATACGTCCAGTCGGCGTTAACCTTTGCGTTGGATTGATTGTAAGTGTTGTCTCTAGGAACCTTGCCCTCCTTTATATAGTCAGGAGGCTAGAGTCCTAGTCGGTTTATAATAAGAGTTCCTAGTAGGATTACAGAATAATACTACTACTAAGATTATATGGAAAGAATCCTAGTTAGACTAGATCTTCTCCCTTCCTTGCAGGGTATCCCGTGGGTCCCGCACCGACAAGCCCCCGAGCACTTCATGGTTGAGTTCTGGAAGCCTCGTCTTGTCCCTTCAGGTCTTGCCGAGTAGGATCAAGCGTCGTCCGAGTGCTTTCTTGAGCGAAACCGTGTAGCGCTTCGTGAGATCTTTGGGTGGTGTGTACTTTTTTTTGAAGAAAAAGTACTCCCATCTGGGTGTAGCCCCCGAGCCTCTTGCTATTTGGATCAAGGAGCTGGAGGGTCTTGTCTTGAAATTGCTCTGATTCTTCGTCGAAAGGCTCCCGAGCATATACCCGAGTTTTTTATCAAAAAGAACTCGGATATAGCTCGGTCCGGGTTCTTTTTATCGTGAGGCCTTGAAGTGGTCTGTCTTGAAGAAGTCTTCTTGGTGACGTGTGCTTTTTCGAAGAAAAAAGTGCACTCACTGAGTTTAGCCCCCGAGCCTCTTGCTATTTGGAACAAGGAGCTGGAGGGTCTTGAATCTTATGTTGTTTGAAAAAATCCTATCTTGAAGAAGTCTTCTGAGTGATGTGCACTTTTTTGAAGAAAAAGTGCACTCACTGAGTGTAGCCTTCAAAAAAGTGCACTCACTGAGTGTAGCCCCCGAGCCTCTTGCTGTTTGGAACAAAGAGTTGGAGGGTCTTGAATCTGAGTTGTTCAAAGAACTGAAAACCTCTCCTGTTGCAGCCCCCGAGCATATATCTGGGTTCTTTTATTAAAAAAGAACTCGGATACAGGATCTTGGCATATTCTCTGGTAGTCTGCTGTTGTCAGATGTAGTTGTATGGTGGTGGTTGAGTGTAAATGATGTTTGTTCACGAGTTGTACAGTGTTGGTATATTATTCCGAATATGCTCGTTCTTGAGTACTGTTCCTTCACACCTGAATCCTCTTTCATTGAATTCTGTCTTTTCACCGTGTCCTTTGTTAGGTTTGTTTCGTTGGTGCTCCCGGTCCATGTGCACCGCTTCTTTGGTCTATAAATACCTTCCTGGTGTGCTATTTTGATTCATCGAGCATTTTGTTGCATGGTCCAAAATTTCTGTAGTCATGAATATGATAGTCTGTGAAGTAGAGCAGCCTCCGGGCGTATTTTATAGTTCTTGTATATCTTATCGTAGCTGGAGGGAGTCTTGTGATAGGAATTAGAGGTAGACTAATCTCACAGTGGCATTGTACCAGAAAGTACGTGGTGGTAGTTGGAGGAAGTCTTGTGATGTGGGATACGTTCCTTCATCCGGCAGTTCTGGATTGATCCTCCTCGTCTGCCCTGCGACTGTCCGGTGCAGATCAACACCTGATCCTGCATCACGTCGGGTTCTGTCGATGTTTTACTACCGATAGCTTGCCACGGGGGTACCTGGGGCAGTTTGTTCGGGCTTCGGCGTATGCCGAACTCGACGGTAAACGCAAGAGACAGTCGATTTATCCTGGTTCGGACCCTCGAGCATGATCGAGTAATAGCCATACGTCCAGTCGGCGTTAACCTTTGCGTTGGATTGATTGTAAGTGTTGTCTCTAGGAACCCTACCCTCCTTTATATAGTCAGGAGGCCAGAGTCATAGTCGGTTTACAATGAGAATTCCTAATAGGATTACAGAATAATACTACTACTAAGATTACATGGAAAGAATCCTAGTTAGACTAGGTCTTCTCCCTTCCTTGCGGGGTATCCCGTGGGTCCCGCACCGACAGGGCTGTGAGCGAGGCGACGGTGGCGCCGCCGAGCGGGTGGAGGGAGACAACCGAATGGGCAGTGCCGGTGGCGGGGGCGAGGAGTTGCTCATGAACTCCTGGATTGGGATTAAGGACAGGTGGGTTCGTTTGGCGGCTGTTGTAGGTGGGCGGTGAGGTCACCGGCGACCTAGGGAGCGGGCGGAGGAGGAAGATGGGTACGGAGAGAGAGAGAGAGAGAGAGAGAGAGAGAGAGAGAGAACGCGTACACCGCTATCCCTACTGGCGTGTTCGCGTCAAGAATGAGTGTCGGTCAGGACGTATATAAGACCATCACATTTCACAACTGTGATAGCTAAGATATATCTGATGGTCAATATATTGCTAGTCAGAGAGATTGAATATAAAAGTAGTGGATGGCAATGCATAAAAGGCAATATTCTCCTTATCCTTTGGATTTATTATAGACCGGTTGACACAACCGCGACAGGATTCGTTGATGCAACATCAACAAGATTTTTTAGCAACGCTACATATTATGTTTATGAGACGAAGAAATACCAGGGTCAGGCCTAAGATGTGCAAATTGTCTATTCAAATTTCTAAGGGTATTTTTTATTTGTAGCCTAAATCCTTATATGTGCTTCAAGATATTAAGGCAAACTAAGACACTTATTCGCGGCTGCTGCGACAGTAAATGATGACATATGAACCTGTTACATCACTACAACACGGGCACCCTGCAGTCCCATCTTCTGATTATTCTATGTTTCCAACGACCTCAGCATCCTCCCCAGCCTTCGCCATTTCAATCTTAACAGAAGGTTCCGCGGAAGCGGCATTGTTCGTCGATTCCTTCTTGCTAGCAGCACCAAATCCCTTCAACCCCCTCCCCGACGCCCTCTTACTTGTCTTCGCCCACACCAGGACGCCCTTCTGCACATGTTCGTTGAAGATCTCCTTCTTGTAGCAGCTCCCCATCTTTTGTGCAAAAGGGAACAAAGCGTTTAATCATCGGAATAGGAGTTTTGAGGATAACAGTTTGTATAAACAATCCATATCTGAAGTCTGAACGCTGTCGCACCTGAGTAACAATTGCATACAGAGGCAAGGTGACGTAGCTACAGATAAGCTGAATAAGAACCCTGCAAGTACAAGGCGTGGATGCAAGTGTCAAGAGAACATACTGAGACTTGCATTTTCCCTATCGCATGAATGGGCAATAAGGTGGAGGATTCTGAAATGATTAAATACCCCATGACAAGCCTCGGCACGATAAAACCAACAGATTCCATGATGCATGCGTCGAATCCGTAAGTTGTCTAGAAACATTAAGGAGGGTCAACAATGCTGTTTGCGATGAGTTATCACATCTCTGTGCGCTTTACAAATGGTGCTTAAAAATATACTTACCAGTATCCAGAAGAAAAATGCAATCTCAAATGAGTTCTGAAAGAGGATGAAGTGGATCAGGTAAAGGATAATTCTAGGCTTGCCGAACCAGAAGTGCCTATCTGATGGTTTTACGATCACATCGCCATCGATAGCTGTGTGCTTCTTAGCTACATCATGGACTAACTCAGCTATGATGTGCTCCAGCTTAGTGCCAACAGCTAACAGAAGCTGAAACAAGTAAAGAGCTATCCAGTAAGCACGTAACACTAACTAGGCACGCGGTGGTCAAGGATCAATAGACAACAGTTAATCATATTGTTTAGAGTATGTGCAAGGACCAGCCTATAATTAAAGCAAATAATTCACTTCATCAGGACGTTGAGAAAATCAATACACGGTGAAAGGGTACCAGGTTTGGTTCCCCTGTAAAGGCCAAGCAAAAATGGTGAACATCAGGCAACTATAACATATTTCTCCAATGCAAGAGTTTATGGGTCCTTTTTAGCGATCTTCATAATTTAGACATTAGAGAAAAAACTAGATTGCCACTTAAAACAACAAAGTATAAGCACTTTTTTCTGAACACGCAGAAGACCTGCATATGTCATTGTGTTAAGAAAGGAGAAAAATACGAGATACGAAGCAGTAGTGTGCGGAGAAAAGAAACATATAAGCACTTACAAAAAGGGGAAGGAAAGAAATCCAAAAGTATACGTGCCAACCTGCAGATTAATGGAAAGGAGTGATAAGTTGTTTTTACAAGCTTAAATACATACTGAAATATTACAACAATACCTAGCTGTCAGTTGAACAGGACAAATTAACTCGTCCTGCACAAAGACAGGGCAGGAAAATAGAAATAATAATAATGGTCTTTGTGTTAACATAGGATAGCTAAGTTTTACCGTCAACATTCAGCAATAGAAATATCACCACGAAAATCCACAAGTACCAGCTAAAAAAGGAATAGAAACAACATGGTTATGTTTATTCAGGAAACAAGATTTGCATCAAACTTTAAAAAGAATATATAGACATGTGTACCATTCTTTGGATTACCTGATGCCTACTACTTTCCTAAAATCAGCCTCTAAAGCCCTTACCATGTATCCATAGAAATCAAATTTTGGGTTGGAAGGGCAGTGAGTCTGTAATGAGGGGAAAAAACCCATGTTTACAGGCCAGGAAAGAACAGAGTATTAGCTTATCATTTGGGCAGATGCTTACCATGATAAAACCAAGACGCATTGTAGTGTAATCTGATTTAGATACTGATCTATAAAACTGCTTAACAAAAGAATGCTGAAAAAGAAAGGAAAGTGAAGGCTAATAAGTTCACCAATAGTGTCTTTTGTAAGAAGTTCACCAATAGTAATAGAAAGCAATTGCCACAAGATAAAAAAACATGTATGCAAACAGTGACTAATAAATGAAGTTACGCGACATAAGATAGAAGATAAAAGAAGACATGAAATGCACTACTTACCAGCCAACTCGATATTATAGTTCGTTTCTTGATAAATTCGTCATGTACATTGGTTACCTTGTTAGGCCCTGAAATTTCAGTCCATTTTATATTTTAACAAAAATATAAGTGACTCTTCTTTTGCAAGTAAAAATAAGCATATCATAAAGAACATCTTTTTAAATGAACCAAGTAGAAGACCTGCTGGTTATATTAAAAAGAAGTTCAATCCAGACTGGATATAATAAAACAAAAGAAGCACAATAGAGCAACATGACTCCATTGGCAACTAAAAATAACAACTGCACCAAATGGTTGGATCGAGACATCAACACAGCCCAAACAACATAGACTAGTGAGGCTATTTATATCCTCATGGAAGTACCAAGAGGCCAAGAGGTTAGGGAGACACCAACTCCAAAATGTATTGTAGTAACTAGCACCGTAAAGCAGTACCGCATATACTAAATTTTGGTACCTCCCATGTTATAGTTTTGGTACCTTTTCAAGGACCATAAAAGACCACGGAAACGAAGAAGCTCCTTAAATCGATTTGCAGTCGCACAAGAAGACTAAAGACTAGTTCAAACGCAAGTGTGGCACCGCAATAAAATATGAGTAACAAGCTAGATCCTGATACCATTTTCAGTAGCATCTTTCTGAATTTCATCCTCCCACTGTTTCCATTGGTGTATCTGAGTAATTAAATACAGTAAGAAACAGACAGCAAAAGTAGAAAGAGTTCTGCTGCTAAACTGCAAGGCATACCAAAAGCTGCATACCTGTACACTTCCTAAAAGCATAGTTGTGCAGCTGAAAATAACATGTGTGATTGCCATAACAAATATAAAAATGTGCAGCTGATGTGTGGCTTCAAGGGACAGAAGTGGAACTTTTCCCTGTAAAAAACAAACCGTACAACTTAGATATACCATTAATTTTTTTTTTCTCGAACAGCGCAGGAGAACTGCGCGTCATTTCATTAAGGTAGAGAAAGAATTACAAAGGTCCAAGTGACCCAACACACACACCCTACTCCCCAGAACTAGGTTACTGACTCGCCACACAAAAAGGAAAAAAGGACGACCAAACTTCTCCAAGCATTAAGCTCCAGAAGGCAACAACCTGAAAACCAGCTCCTGGAGTTTGGAGGCCCCAGCCGAGCACCAAAGCCCACCCTACGAGCTAATAGCCCTAAGGACTTCCTGAACACTTGGCCTCTTATTATCAAAGACACAAGAATTGCGATGCTTCCAAATCTCCCAAGCCACCAAAATTATCAAGGAGTTGAGGCCTTTACGCAAATCCTTAGGGACAGCCGCAGTTGTTCTCTTCCACCACCCTGAGAAATGAATCACAGTAGGCTGTGGTGCCAACTGTAGCATTCCCAACTGATGCAAAACCAGGGCCCAAACTTGCTGGGCAAAAACACAGCCCACTAACAAATGGTTTATTATTTCATCCTCTTGATCACATAATGGGCAAGCCTCAGGATGGGGCAGATTCCTCCTTGCAAGTCTATCGGCTGTCCAGACCCGGTTGTGAAATACCAACCAGATGAAGAACTTGCAGCGCGGAGGAGCCCAAGTTTTCCAGATCCTTCTCCAAAACCCAAACTTGATAGTTCCCTCAAAGAAGGCTGCATAAGCTGATTTACTAGTGTAGGAACCATCCTGAGTTAATTTCCATCTATATTGATCTGGAATCTCTGGATGCAAAATAAATCCATCCACAATGTCCCAAATACAAAGGTACTCAAGCATGACCACAACTGTACGTGCTCCTTTAATATCCTGAACCCAACTATTATGATGCAAGGCTTGTGCCACCGTCCTTCTCTTGGCTGTTCGATTTGGGACTGCCTTGAACAGGTTAGGAGCTATTTCAGCCATGGTATGCCCCCCCCCTCAGCCATCTATCTTTCCAGAACAATATCTCCTCTCCATTTCCTACTATGGCATCGACTGCAACATTGAAGAGAGCCTCGGCTTTATGAGGAACAGAGATAGGAAGGCCGGCCCAAGGCCTTTCAGCATCTGTCTTTTGCGCCCACAGCCACCGAATCTTCAGTGCACATCCCAGAAGTTCAAGATTATGAATCCCAAGACCTCCATACTCAAGTGGTCTTTGCACCTTTTCCCAACCTCCTAGGCAATTGCCACCATTGGCCTGCTGGTGACCCTTCCAAAGGAAGCCTCGTCGTTTTTTTGTCAATAGCCTTAATCACACATTTTGGAAGGTCCAGGGCAGTTAAAAGGTATATTGGGACAGCAGTCAGCACAACCTTCACCATGACTAGCCGCCTAGCTCTGTTCATAAGAGAAGCCTTCCATCCAGGGAGATAATCTGCCACTTTATCCACTAAAGGTAACAGCACCTCTTATGACGAATCCTTCTAGCATCTTAATTGTAAACAACCCCTTTTTAGCGTAACAACATTCCTACATTTACTAGTTATCCACTAAAGGTAACAACCCCTTTTTAGCGTAGTCCTGGATTGAAAACATCATTCCTACAACTTAATTGTAGGCTTTGTAGCTACCTTTCTTTTTAGGTAGAGGGATAACTCATACCTTCTTTTCTCTCTCTTAATTAACTAGTAAATGATGCTAGAAGGATTCGTCAAACGAGGTGTTTCTTTTTACTTATGTTTTAATTTTAATGGTATTAGGGTTTAGAGAAAGGCATCATGCCAACTCTCCTTTTTCTGTCTATGGTGCCAATTATGACCAAGTCTTATGTCCCTGTCTCTCCACCTGAATTGTAGTATTCCAACTTAGACCTTGTTTGGATCCACTCAACAAAAGTTTAGCTAGCTAAAATTTCAAAACTAAACTTTAGCCAGCTAAAAGTTCTCCTAGCTAAATTTTAGCTAGGGTGTTTAGATCCACCAGCTAATAGACTCAGCTAAACTTTAACTGGGTTTAGCTAGGTTGAAACAGCTAAACTGAGCTAAACTTTAGCTGGTCATTTAGCTACGCCGTTTGGATCCCTAGCAGCTAAATTTAGCTGGCTAAAGTTTAGCTGGTGGATCCAAATGGTCTCTTAGAAGTTAGCCCAAAGCCCTAAACATAGAAAATTTAGAAATTGACAGCAGAACATGGCATCATCACATTCTCAGGCTGAAAAAAACATTGATCGTGTTTGGTTGGTCTAGCCAACACGTGGCTGTCATGACCGCCAACTCGAGTGGCTAAGTTAGGCTCTTAGCTTTTATGTTTGGCTTTCGTTTCGGGCCTTTGGCTAACTCGGTCAGCCCAGGTGGCCTTGTAATGGTTTGCGCCGGAAATATAAGGCGCCGGACCTGTATGTGAATCGTTACGGAATAACAGAATCTTGAACTCGTCTTTCCGTCTAACAAATTAGTTGGTGGATGCGAATCAAAATCATATCTTACTAAATTTCATCTAACTGACCACCATGGCTCAAACAGAAAAAATGTAATGGACAATAAGGTTTATTCCAAAATTCTAATTCCGGAGTCTGATCACCTTATTATGGCAGTGCTCAGACCCAACGCCTGCACTCAGCAGCCGCCTACCGATCCTGCCAAGGGTAGTCCCGACATCAATGAAATGCTTCTTGGTGGCATGTCGCCTACCGGCGTGCTCATCTGGCTTCTTGCATGGCAGCATGTCGAATGTCCATCCTTCAGGGATGCATGTCTTCTGGATGCTCCCTTGGAACACCGTCAACAGCAGGGAGATGAACCCCAGAAGCATCAACTCTGCATCACATCACACAAAGACAAAGAGCTAAGGTTTGTGCGGTAAACATCATATCTTTATCTTATCCTAGCCGTATAGTACTTTTGTAACATCGATGGGTGAGGGCGTCCGTTCGCTTGCGTCTTGGGACGGAACGATCCGTTCTGGCACTCACAGTTGTAACACAAAATTCCTACATTCTCTCCTTAATGAAATACGGGCCTCGATCCGCTCGTGAAAAAAAAATCTTTATCTTATCTGGAATCATAGAGAAGGAAAGGAAGACTTCCAAGAGCCTTTCTATATTCTTCCTTTTTGCTAGAAATTAATATTTTGGTGAAAAAAATACCCTCCGATGTCTTTTTATTTAGATTTCCAAATATTGTCATTATCTTTTCCAGATTTCTTGTTAGTCAAATATGGAGAGCATGATTGGCTCTCTATAGTGGCATAAGATATAGAAAAGCTATTGAAGGGTGAAATGATAGAGAAAACAAGTTTTATTCAAATGGCTCTCCAAAAGATGATTTAGAGAGTGGATTTAAAAAACACTCTCGGAGATGCTCTAAGATTTTGCACCGGGGTCATCGCATACCTGGAAAAAGTTGCGTCTTTTTGCTGTTATATAAATCACAAAAGTTTTTCCATAGATGCATTTTTAAATAGCGCAATCACCTGGTTTCTTTCGGGTCCTCTTCTCCAAAGAAAAAACAGTCCCTGATATTCTTAGTAATCAAACCATAATGCGGAAGACTCCTTATATGGGAGTTTCATCCCCATGAAACTTATTTTATCCCGCAAAATTTTTATCCTCTCTTTTCATCTATGCTATGCCATTATTAATTATCCCGAAGTGAAAAACAAGGAGGAGAAATGGAGGCACCTTCTTTGATCTTGAGCAGCGCCTCGTAGAGCGGGCGCCTCTGCTTCTTCTTCTTGAGCTTCTGCAGGACGTGACAGGCCGGTCGGTCACCCAGATTAACGCCATGGCCGTCAGCACTGCTCTCCTATCGAACAGAACGGCTGAGTGAATCCAGGAAAGCAGAGCATAATACACACCTTGCCGAGGTAGTGGAGGCCTCGCTCGGCCAAGAGCGAGATGAGCACAATGAGCGAGCAGACCGCCGCGACGATCCACGTCGGTGTGATCTCCAGCGCCGTCGCCTCGGTCTCCTCCTCGTGCGCCATTCAGCCCCCGTCCGGCCTCCACTACTCCTACAGAAAGCGTCGAAATAAAGGAAACGTGAACCGTCTCGCCTCTCCCGGAAGGAAACGCGGGGCAGACTCGCTTAATATTTGGCCTGTGCTGCAGCTGCTGTACCTGTGTGTGTGTGTGTGTGTGTGTGTGTGTGTCCCAAGTTTCCAACTGCTGCTATTCAGCAGCTTGAATAGCTGTTACTTAGTAGCTTGGATGTGTGCAGCTGTTACGACATATTATTCGAGGTTACGTTCGAACTGATGATCGCAGCTTGGATGTGTCCCAAGTTTCCATTTCCACCTTCATATTCGAGGTTCGAGCTCATCGCAGCGTCCGGGCAGCTTGAGGCGAGCCGATCTTCTAGAGAAATATATCCAGACGACCCGGCCGCATAGATGATTGGATAATATGAGTAATTACTGGAGTTGTTGATTAGACGATCGTTTCGGGTTCTACGTTGCGGCATGCACGTAAGCTACTGGACATATATGGATTACTAGAATATCTACACTGTAAGTGGTTTAGTTTTTTTTCCCCTTTGAAAGCCTGTAAGTGGTTTATAGTTCATAGGTGGACGTTCGAGAATCCAAGAATGAGAGCGTGTATATATGTTTTGAACTAAAAATGCATGCAAAGTATGATAAGATAGAGATAGTTACTAGAATACATGCATGAGCTATCATGAAACCAATTTACATTATATTAAATTAATTATGATCACTACACTAGAACACGGGTTATACTAGAGCCAGTGACTACTTATCATTGCCGGGTGGTAAGTCTAGAATCCAGAAAATTGATGAGAAGCTAATCACTCAGCAGTGATGGCACCTATCACTACCAGGTCAAACCACTCACTACCCGGCAGTGTTATATCACTGATCGTAGAAGCTACGATCAACAATGATAACTAAAATATCACTACCGGCCCATGCTATGACCCGGCAGTGATATGTCACTGCCGGGTCAAGCCACTACCCAAAAGTGATATTTTGCATATCACTCTTGGTTTTTGTTGTAGCCCATCAGTATTCTTTTCGATCGTTGGATCCACCTAACTATCGTAATTTTGATTCTCCACCGTTGATCCCACCTACCACCGTTACTTCGGGTATAAAAGCAGCATCCGGACGTCTCCACGACAACCCCCAACTGGCCAATTTATAGTATGCAAGAGAGATGCAGCTCATATTGTTTCGCCACTTATAGTATCCATATATATGAGCTCTCTGTGGAAGAAAGCTCTTCACATACACATTTCATTATGAGTAGTCAAGATGATGCACATGAAAGGTACTAGAATAATGTTTATGAAGATAGAGCTATGTTGAATCTTAGGGACCCTGGGAGCTATTCTCGGGCACCCTCGTTGTAGCATGGGCTGCCCAGTTTGTTGTTGGGCAGCTCCTCGAAGTTGACATCCTCTTCAAGCTGTTCTTAGACCCGCCACTAGAGGCATAGATTCATCATAGCTTGCAGCCATCGTGGCTCCTCCACCCCCTCCTGCATCCTCTTCCACCTTCGAGATCCCACTTGCATAGCTAGAACAATGTTTGTGAGGTGGTTATGTTACATATGTTTGTAGACTTTGATGCTAACATTTATATAGTCGGAAAAAGATCTTTGTTATTGTTTATGTAATTTTATTCTAAAATCTTTGTTATTGTATATCAGTATCATATACAAATATTTTTAATAATTTCTATGGTCTTTTGTTACCATTTTTACCGGCTGACTAGTATTTTGGAACATTTTCACATACCTTTACTCTTTTTTTTTATGAGAATCAATAAGAATTAAAATAAATTATCTGCTAACACGGATAGGTGTATTATCCAACAGAGGACACCTCCATCATGATTGTGTCTAACTATTGGGACTATCATAGCTAGGGCTGAATATCGAGCCAGCTCGGCTCGGCTCGTTAAGCTAGAGGGGCAGCTCAGCTCAGCTTATTAGCGAGCTCGAGCTAGCTCATTTAGCTCGCAAGCTACGAAAAAAATAGGACACACATGTTTATAATATTCATACCACAATAATTTCAGAAACTGACGTCCACCATTATGCAACTATACATGATTAATACATATCCGGTTCATCAAAAGTATCAACCATGCAACATAGCTATTCCATCCATGATTCATGCAGTTCTAGCATACTTACTAGTTGCTTGTCACCACAAACTTAGAAAAGTCTACAAATTCAATGTCAGCATCATCATCTTCTTCCTAGAAAATAATCCATAAATCAACATTTAAGTACCACAATAATTATAAAATTAAAATTCATATAAAACAGCTGAAAATAAGGATTACATATCGATGGAATAGGTGTATACTTTTAGGTCAGTATCATCATCTTCTGGATTCATGGTCGTGGCTGATAGGCCTCAGCTCGTTTGAGTTCGTGAGCAGCTCGCGAGCTGGCTCGTTAAAACAGCGAGCTAGACTTCTAACTCAGCTTGTGAAAAAGTTAAAACGAGCCGAGCCGAGTTGGACACGAGTCGAGCAAGTTGGCGAGCCACGAGTATTTTGTCCAGCCCTAATCATAGCTGGATCAGAGACAAGCTGACAGTGTTGTATTGTCCATCCGAACAATGATTAGGATTGTGTATACATTGCAAGTGTTGAGAGTGCAAACCAACGGTGATACAAAGATTTTCTCTCCGATGTTCGGTTACTTGCCGGCAACCTACGTCGATATTGACGTAGATCCTTATCACCATTCACTAAGAAGCCGGTAGATCATCGAGGACCTCACCAAACCTCGATCGATTTCGCTGAAGTTACTCCTTTGCAACACGTGCAAAAGATCCAGGAAGACTAGTAAATGTTTCTACGGTGAAATTTAGAAAGCGATAACAGGAAGACTAGTACATCAAATCAATGTAAGCCTGTACGGTGAGAGAACACGGGCGGAGCACGCAAGGACCGTCAGATAGATGCTATTGCCGGCTTGCTGCATACCTAGACCTAGGCACCGCCGCAGTCTCTTGTGCAGTTTTGCGCTTGTGGGAACAGTACCTTTTCTTTTTTGGAAAAATTGGGAACAGCAGTTATCAATCCCGCCGTAGAATGACAGACGCATCTGTTTGGAAATTGGAATGGCGCAGCAGCAGCCAGCACTCCAGCAGTATATCATAAAATTAGTCACGCATAAACCTAAGACAAGAATATCGAAGAACACAAAAGGACATCATATCTAAGCCTGAATGTCTTGAACGCAACACCGCTTGACACACATCCGGCCAATGTACGGTGCCAATAATGCCGGGTGTGATGAGGTAAGTGGTGGCGCCAGTTTGCCTTACGATCGTCAGTTCATCATTGGGACGGTGAGAGCAACGGCCAGCGAAAGGCTTTGGAAGAGACTGGACCCAGGTCACTCACCAGCGGAGCATGAGGCAGACTGGAGTCAGCTTTCTCCCAGCAAGCGAAAAACTTTGGGTCATGGTCGACGCGAGGACCAAGGTCGATGATTGCCTCTTAGCGAGTAAAGCTTGTCTTTGGATGTTTGTTAATTATTAGGCCAGGTGTCATTGTGTAATCAAAACTATGCAGACTCGGACGCGCTTGCCACGGCGACGCATCGTTGTGTAAGCTATTTTCTTTCAATTTTCTTTTTTTTCAAAGCATAGAGAAACTATATTAAAACTTAGAGCAACTTCAAGAATCTTTCTTAAACTCGCTCTCTAAGTTTTCATTTAGACAGTCATTTAATAAAAATCATTCTCTAAATCTTTTCATCTGTCAACAACTTCTCTATACCTTGTACACAATCTAAAAAGACAGCCTCAATCCTCATTTTTAGCTAACAAGAAATTTATAATATAATATGACTATGTTAGGAGATTCAATTAAAAAAGTTGTTGGACAATATAAAAATCTATATTCCTATCAATTATGAAGGATATAAAGAGGTTTTTAGAGCTGCTTTTAGCTCAGTACACCCTAAAATTACACATGAAAAAATCTCAAACAAAAAGGATACTATGTTTTATCCAGATTCTTCGTTCGTCATTTTTCCTAGAAGGTTTTTCTTGATGCATAATAGTCTTATGGAACACCATTTTCCCTAGTGGCTTTACTCGATGCATAATAGAGTTTTATGGAACACTGAAACCAAAGTGTAGTCCTTATATTGAAACCAACGATCAACCTTAATACATTAGGCATGCCGCAACATCTAACGTTTCGGAACCAGTCCGAAACACATCTAAAGCGATGAAACAACACACCATCAAATATGACATAGGCCGCAGATTCATCACCTCTATCCTTTGATTGGCCATGTATGTCTTGATTTCCTCTTCGCGACCGACAATAAGATTGATGATCTGGAGTTATTGGCCAAGAGTATCCCTCCCCTTACAGATAATGGCCATAAATTGGCCTTCAGCTGATGAAATCGATGTCTGCAACGGGAACATACTCGTGGCAATCATCAAAGTGATCACAGATAACAAGATTTCGACAAAAAAATCATCTGAAATCCCCTTATCGATATCCCCTTATCCATTCAGACATGCTAGTATATATAGGACTCTGGTTCCTACTGGACCAACAACAGACACGCTAACGGGCCTAAACTCACCCACTCCTAATCCTATTGAGAGAATTCCTTATTTGACACTGGAAAATGAGCCGTTCCTTTCTTGGCTCTAAAATTTTCTTTGTTCCTTATTTGACACTCACTTGAACTTTCATCCCTAATATGACACCGCAGTCAAATCCATTGGTGTTAAATGGCTGTTAAAAAGACATTTTTGCTCCTGGGTCAAAAACATGTTGACAAAAAAAAAGAGCAGCCAGTGGCCAGATACGCTGCATGCATGCGCCAGCACCCAGGGGCAAAAATGTATTTTTAACAGCCACTTAACACCGTTAGCTGATGGATTTGACTGCGAAAAAACGAAGAAAATTTCAGGACCAAGAAAGGAACGGTTTTTTTTTTCCAGTATCAAATAAGGAATTCTCTCAATCCTATTAGGAGGCCCAGGGTCCAGGTCATGACATGCACAGACCACAACTGCCATTATATGGCTTCAAGATATTACGACAAACTAGAACACTACTTCACGGCTGCTGCAACAACCATCTACAAAAAAATGATGGCATATGAACATATTACATCATTACAACACGAGCACCCTACTGTCCCATCACCCTGTCTTTCCAACGACCTCAACATCCTCCCCAGCCTTCCCCATTTCAATCTTAACAGAAGGTCCTGCCGAATCGGCATTGATCGTCGATTCGTCCTTGCTAGCAGTAGCAGCTGCAGCTCCCTTCAGTCCCTTCCTCATCTTGACCTTCTGAGCCCAGCCCAGGACGCCCTGCTGCACATGCTCGTTGAAGATCTCCTTCTTGTAGCAGCTCCCCATCTTTATGCACAAGGGAACAAAACGTTTAATCGTCGAAATAGGAGTTTGGAGGATAACAGTCTGTATAAACAAACCACATGCGAAAGCTGACGCACCTGGGTTACAATTGCATACAGAGGTAGGGTGCTGTAGCTACATAGAAGCTGAATAACAACCCTGCAAGTACAAAGCGTGGATGCAAGTGTCAAGAGAACATATTGAGGTTTGCCTTTTCCTCATGGCATAAATGGACAATAAACTGGAGGCATTTGAAATGATTAAAATACCCGATGACAAGCCTCGGCACAATAAAACGAACTTGTCCCATGATGCATGAGTCGAATCCATAAGTGCTCTAGAAAAGATAAGGAGGGTCAATAATGTTGTTCGTGTTCAGTTATCACATCTCGGTGCAATTTACGAATGACACATCAAACTGCTTACCAGTATCCAGAAGAAAAATGCAATCTCAAATGCATTCTGAAAGAGGATGAAGTGGATCAGGTAAAGGATAATCCTAGGCTTGCCGAACCAGAAGTGTTCATCAGATGGTTTTACAATCACATCACCCTCGATTGCTGTGTGCTTCTCAGCTACATCATGGGCTAACTGAGCTATGACATGCTCAAGCTTAGTGCCAATAGTTAACAGAAGCTGCAAGAAGTAAAGAGCTGTCCAGTAAGCACCTAATACTGAATAGGTATGCAGTGGTCAAGGATCATCAACAGTTAATTGTATTGTTCAGATTATGTGCAAAGCCCAGCCTATAATTAAAGCAAATGATTCATTTCATTATAACTTTGAGAAAATCAGTACACGGTAAAAGGGTACCAGGTTTAGTTCCCCTGTAAAGGCCAAGCTAAAATGGTCAAAAGTGAACATCAAGCAAGCAAGTATTGACATATGTCTCCAATGCAAGAGTTCATGGGTCCTTTTTAGCGATCTTCATAATTTAGACATTAGAGAAAACTAGATTGGCACTTTAAAACAACAAAACTTAAGCACTTACAAAAAGGGGAAGGAAAGCAATCCAAAAGTATGTGTGCCAGCCTGCAGGTTAATGGAACAAGTGGTAAGTTGTTCTCAGAAGCTTAAATACATACTGAAATATTACAACAGTACCTAGCTGCCTGTTGAACAGGACAAATTAACTCGTCATGCACAAAGACAGCGCAGGAAAATAGAAATAATGAAGGTCTTTTCTGTTAACAAAGGGTAGCTAAGTTTTACCGTTAACATTCAGCAATAGAAATATCACCACAAAGACCCACAAGTACCAGCTACAAGGGAATAGAAACAACACGGTTAAGTTTATTCACGAAAGAAGATTTGCATCAAACTTAATAAAAGAATATATAAACATGTGCGCCATTCTATGGATTACCTTATGCCTACTACTTTCTTAAAATCAGCCTCTAAAACCCTTACCATGTATCTATGGAAATCAAATTTTGGATTTCCAGGGCAGTGAGTCTGCAATGAGGGAAAAAAACCTTGTTTACAGGCCAGGAAAGAACTCAACATTAGCTTATCATTTGGGCTGATCCTTACCATGATAAAACCAAGACGCATTGTGGTGTAATCTGATTTAGATAATGATCTATAAAACTGCTTACCAAAAGAATGCTGAAAAAGAAAGGAAAGTGAATACAGTCTTTTGTAAAAAGTTCACCAATGGTAACAGAAAGCAATTACCATAAGATAAAAAATGTGTATGCAAACTTGACTAATAAACGAAGTTTCGCCACATACAAAAAGATAGAAGATAAAAGAATACATGAAACACATTACTTACCAGCCAACTCAATATTATAGAATCTTTGCCAATACCCTTAAAACGTTTCTTGATAAATTCATGATGACGTACATGGGTTACCTTCTTAGGCCCTGAAATTTCAGTCCATTTTATATACTAACAAAAAATAAGTGTTTCTTCTTTTACGAGCAAAAATAAACATATCATAAAGAACACCCTTTTTATGATCCTTATTATAGAAGTACCAAAATGTACCACTAATTACAACTAGGGAAGCACCGACACCAAAATTTAGTCACTAGCACCAGAAATCAGTACCACATATACTAAATTTTGGTACCTCCCATGTTATAGTTTTGGTACCTTTTCAAGGAGCATAAAAGATCTCAAAAACAAAGAAGCTCCTTAAATCGATTTGCAGTCACACAAGAAGACTAAAAGACTACTTCAGATGCAAGTCTGGCACTGCAATAAAGTATGAGTAACAAGCTAGATCCTGATACCATTTCCAGGAGCATCTTTTTGAATTCCATTCTCCCACTGTTTCCATTGGTGTATCTGAGTAATAAAATACAGTAAGAAACAGACAGCAAAAGTAGTTGCTGCTAAACTGCAAGGCATGCCAAAAGCTGCATACCTGTGCACCTCCTAAAAGCATAGTTGTGACGCTGAAAATAACATGTGTGATTGCCAGAACAAATATGAAAATGTGCAGCTGATGTATGGCTTCAAGGGACAGAAGTGGAACTTTTCCCTGTAAGAAACAAACAGTACAACTTAGATACACCATTAAAATTAAAACATTAGTAAGAAGAAACACCTCGATTGATGAATCCTTCTAGCACCATTTACTAGTTAAGAGAGAGAAAAGAAAGGTATGAAGTTATCATCTATGCTAAAAAAGAAAGGTAGCAACAACTAAGTTGTAGGAAGGTTGTTTTCAATCTAGGACTACGCTAAAAAGGAGTAACATCTTAAGCAACCACGTGATGATAAAACACTTGAATGTTTTAACCAATCATGTGCTCATCTGATCTCCTCTAAAAAACATAGTACTGTAATCATCAATTTGAATTGTCTAAATAAATTCCTCATCTAACACAAATTAAAAGATTTATACTAGAGAAAGGCATCATGCCAACCCTCATTTTCTGTCAATGGTGCCAACTACTACCAAGTCGCATGTACCAGTCTCTCCACCTGAATTACAGTATTCCAACTTGGAAGCCAGCCCAAAGCGACAAACATAGAAAATTAGAAATTGACAGCAGAACATGGCTTCATCACGTTCTAAAACTGAAAAAACATTAATCATGTTTAGTTGGTCTATCCAACATGTGTCATTCCAGCTATGGAGGTCAAACAAATTATTTGGTGGATGCAAGTCAACATCATATCTTACTAATTTTCATCTAACCGACCATCACGGCTCAAACAAACAACAACAACAAAGCATTTAAGTCCCAAACAAGTTGGGGTAGGTTAGAGTTGAAACCCAGCAGAAACAATCAAGGTTCAGGCACGTGAATAGCTGTTTTCCAAGCACTCCTATCTAAGGCTAAGTCTTTGGGTATATTCCATCCTTTCAAGTCTCATTTTATTGCCTCTATCCAAGTCAACTTCGGTCTTCCTCTGCCTATCTCTTCACGTTACTATCCTGGCTTAGGATTCCACTACGCACCGGTGCTTCTAGAGGTCTCCGTTGGACATATCCAAACCATTTTAACCGGTGTTGGACAAGCTTTTCTTCAATTGGTGCTACCCCTAATCTATCACGTATATCATCGTTCCGAACTCGATCCCTTCTTATATGACCGCAAATCCAACGCAACGTACGCATTTCCGCGACACTTATCTGGAACATGTCGTCTTTTCATAAGCCAACATTCTACACCATACAACATAGCAGGTCTAATCGCTGCCCTATAAAACTTGCATTTTAGCTTCTGTGGTACCCTTTTGTCGCATAGGACACCAGATGCTCGACGCCACTTCATCAAACAAAGACAAAAATATTTGCAATGGACGCCAAAATTCCAATTCCAAGAGTCTGATCACCTTCTTCTGGCAGTGCTCAGCCCCAGCAGCGCCTTCACTCAGCAGGCGCCTGCCGATCCTGCCAAGGGTCCCGACAGCAACGAAATGCTCCGTGGTGGCGGCCTTACCAGCCTTTTCATCTGGCTTCTCGCATGGCAGCATGTGGAATGTCCAGTGTTCAGGGATGCATGTCCTCTGGATAATCCCCTGGAACACCGTCAGCAGCAGGGAGATGAACCCCAGAAGCATCAGCTCTGCATCACACAAAGACAAAGAGCTAAAGTTTGTGGGGTAAACATCTTTATCTTATCCGGAATCATAGAGGAAAGGAAAGGAAGACGAAGATTTTGCAACAGGCCCATTGGTTTAGGCATCGCAGACCTTGAGAAAGTTGCATCTTTTTGCCGTTAAATCACAAAAGTTTTTTCTGAGATGATTTTTAGTGTGCAATAGAGAACCAACCATCACAATCAAACATTCTTTGAACCAATCACCCGGTTTCAAGGAAACCCATGAAAGAAAAAAAACACAAATTTTTGAATCAAAAGTTTTCTTAATAAAAAAATAACGATTTCTTTGTCATCCTCTTCTCCAGAGGACAACCAATCACCTGTGTTTGTTATAAAAAAACAATCACCTGTGTTCTTAGTAACAATCAAACCATTTGTGCATGCAATACTCCTACGATAAGCGTCGGAGCGAAACAAGATGGAGAAGAAATGCACCTTCTTTGACCTTGAGCAGCGCCTCGAAGAGCGGCTTCTGGTTCTTCTTCTTGAGCGTCTGCAGGAAACGACCCAGGCCGGTCTCCCAGATCAGCGCCATGGACGACGACGGCGTATCGAACAGAATGGCCGAGTGAATCCAGGAAAATAGAGCAGCGGTCGCGTCGCATGCATACACACCTTGCCGAGGTAGTGGAGGCATCGCTCGGCGACGAGCGAGAGGAGCACGATGAGCGAGCAGACCGCCGCGACGATCCACGTCGGTGTGAACTCCAGCGCCGCCGCCTCGCCCTCGGCCGCCATCGCCCGTCAGCCCCGCTCCGGCCTCCCTTCCCCCCCCGCAGAAAGCGTCGAAATAAAGGGCTCGCGTGTCCCACGTGAACCGTCTCGCCGCTCCCTTGAGAACTGAGGAACTGCTCGAGTCCAGGCTAAGAGTGAGAGCTGAGAATTTCACTTTCCTACGTACTGGAAGCGCTCTGACCGACCACCGTGTTTGTTTTGGCCTTTTTTTCGGACACCGTGTATTTGTTTTGGCCGCTCGCGGCTAGGGACTTAGCTGGCATTCAAATTTGTTCCAAAATAATAATAATAATAATAATTTTTTAATATATATTTCTTATCTTTTGATATTTTTCTTTTCAACACATGTACATCTTTATTTCTGTCTATTTCTTATTTTTATTTTTTATGGACTAAACATTTTTACTATTTCTTAATTCGTGTGTCTAAACATAAATAGCCTGCTCACTGTAGCTTCTTAGGCTATAGCTGTCCAAGTAGCGAAAACATCAAAATGAGTAGTGTGTTTGTCATACAGTTTATAAATTGTTTAAATTAACAATAGTATCTATTTTTTAATAGTTTTTTTCTAGCCGCGTTTTTCACGTAGCCTCTGTTTTTACTACAAAACAAAATAGAGATGCTGAGTCAGACTAATTTATTTTAATTAAATTTTTTCTCTTGTACGGTTTCTCGTGAAAACGCTTCTAGGAAGGAGTAACTCTTTATGCGTTCTCCCCTAAAAAAACTCTTTACGCGTTCTTTTTCTGCGCAGGCCTAAAATTTGTGGAAACTGATGTTTTTTTTTTGAATTTGTGGAAACTGACGTTGACTAGACGTGCCTTGGGAGCAAGGGAACAGACCGTGGTCACAGACGTGCCTTGGGAGCAAGGGAACAGACCCCTTTTTTTTTGAATTTGTGGAAACTGACGTTGACTAGACGTTCTTTTTCTGCGCAGGCCTTAATCTTGTGGAAACTGATGGTTTTTTTTTTTTTGAATTTGTGGAAACTGACGTTGACTAGAAGCGAGTTCAATTCCTATGAATGGCACTCACATCTTCTGTTGCCTCTTACACATGGAGCCATAAAGGAAATATGACGTATCCGTCGTCAAAGGAGCCATGGATGGACCCGATGATCTCACGAAGAACACGATGTGATCTAAATGTAGTTATAGGTTTGTTCGTGTATGCGTGGTGTGAGTATGGTGTGCGTGTGTAAGGTTGGTGTGAGTCTGTACATGAGCAAATACTATAGCGATACCTAGACCAGAGCCGTAAAAAAAAAGAATAAAAGAGATTTTCTCCAATAGGGAAACTTATATACATCATGCATGTCCGTGGTAGCCTAGCTTGATCCTGCCTCACAGCCTCAGGCACAGGAGCTGTACGTGGGCTAAGCTGGGATGGTGGATTGATGTGAGCGTCGCCGTGAGACAGTTTAAATATGACACGCGTCGCCGTTTCTATATCAACGACTACGCATGTATATGCATCTGCATAAGGTTATAATAATCCATGGACTAATTGGGTACATCGACCTATGTTGACCAAATTCGTGTGCTCCGCAAACAGGCAAAACTGTCCCAGAACAGCGTATACCAGGCACACCGGACTTCAGAGTACGGCTACATAACACACAGAGAAATCATCACTACAAATGTTTGACAAAACAAAAACAAAAAAAGCATTTTCTTTTTTTGCTGTTGGCTTCTTTTGCGACTAGCAGATTATACCGGCATTTTTAAAGAGAAATGTACATACACTTGTGCCAATCCTAAAAACAACAGCATGCTCACGGTTAAGTTCAAAAGCTTTGGAACATTTCTGTAACTTTTTTACTGCAGGTGCTTTAGAACTTCCACCCCAAAATTGTTTCTCAACCCTCCATCGTAAAATGTGAAGTGCTTTAGTTTGTCACACTTCCCAAACTTTCACCAGATTTATAAGAGAAAAAAAACGCCGGTAACTTCTACAACATCAAATGGGTGTAAGAATCAAATAGCTTCACGAGGGGGTGAATAAAAAACCTGGCATAAAACTTTTAAGCATGTCTTTATTTGAATCACGCGAGCAAAGAGTCCTTATATATTAGAATTATAAGAAAGAAGCCTAGCAAGTGAACCACACTATGACAAAACTAAACATATCACAAGCTTCATACAATATCTCAAACACACAACAAGATACACAACCAAAAATTGCATATGAAAGAAAAGAGTGGACAAGAGATGCAACTTGTGAAGATAGGTGTAACTTGATGCCTTCTCGGTCTCACGGCTTCGTGTTAAATAGACTGGAAACAGCCCCAAGCGTGGCGTTACAGACTTGCGTTACAAGCAATGTATAAACAACAGATTACAATCTTGATCTACTTCCTATACAAGAAACTAGATACTGTAACAATCCAATAAGCCTACCTCAACAACCTATACATGATAATACAACACAACTAACACGAAGCCTGAACCTCATCTGTTAACACCCCCGTCAACCACAACTTAGCTGTGAGATTGAGATTGTTCCTGAACTCCCGCATCTTTTGTATTGGAAGCGCTATGGTGAAGCCATCAACAACTTGATCTCCAGAACTGATGAACCGAATACGAAGTTGTTTAGCAGCAACTTGTTCTCTACCAAAATGAAAATCAATTTCAATATGCTTAGTCTTGGCATGAAAGACTGGGTTAGCTAACAGATAAGTGGTGCCTATATTGTCACACCAAAGACAGGCTGCCATGGGATGAGAAACTCCTAACTCATCCAACAATTTTTGCACCCACATAACTTCTGTTGTAGCATTTGCCATGGACTTATACTCCGCTTCTGTACCAGACCTAGAGACAGTTGCTTGCTTCCTTGCACTCCAAGAGATCAAATTAGCGCCTAGATAAACAACAAAACCTCTAGTAGACCGTCTGTCATCAGGGCATCCTGCCCAATCAGCATCAGAAAAGGCTCTAACCACCACAGTTTTGGACTTACCAATCCACAATCCTATACCAAATGTGCCTTTCAAGTATCTCAAGATACGCTTGACGGCCTCCCAATGTGTTGTGGTAGGAGAATGAAGGAATTGACAGACTTCATTGACGGAGAAGGAGATATCAGGACAAGTCAATGTTAGATATTGTAGAGCTCCCACTATACTCCTATATTTAGTGGAATCCTCAGGACCCAGTGCCTGTCCACTTGTAACTAATAACTTCTCTAACACTGATAGAGGTGTACTAACATGATTGCATGAACTCATAAAAATGGTTAAGTATGGCAGGCGACATTGCCTGTTGTATGCAAGTGCTAGTAAGATGCGTGTTCAAAGAATAAAAGAGATTTTCTCCAATAGGAAAACTATATATACATACATCATGCATGTCCCTAACTAAAAGATTTAATGGTTATTAATATTTAGAGTTTTCAATGTCTGACCTAATCTTATCATAAACGACGTTTTTTGACAGAAGAGAGTATTTAATTTACCAGCTAGTATTCTATTATACTCTGAGCATGTGGGCCGGCTATAAAGTTTATTGGGTCATATATATTATATATTTTATAACAATGAATGCTATGCTAAAAAATATCGAATAAGGTTCTCACGTGGATTGAAGTCACCAACTTGGCAAGGTCACTCATAATTACTGCTAATTATTTTTCTTGTGGGATGAGAATTTTTTTAGATTATGGAACAAACCATTCCAGCCTTCACATTCACAAGTGAATGCTTAGAGCTTAACAGTACAAGAAGAGAACTTAGCCCAGTTCTCCGCTAGCCGGATAGTCCAGACTCACAATAACCTAGCTAAGACCTTACATCAGAAGGCAACAAAATAAATCAAATAGTCCACTGATCCCAAACTATCAAAAAGTCCACTGATCCCAGACCAAATCTAAACTCCCAACTTCAAGCAGAGCGAACAAAGGACTCTACAGTCCTATCCTTTTCTGATTCTTCCACACACCACGCCTTCTAAACGCTTGCAACCTTCTTTCATATTTCTTCCCTCTTCCTCTTTAGACAACATGGACCATTGCCTGGTCCAAAAAGTTCCCCTAAAAATTACCTGCAAGTATGAATTAATAACTAAATTTTCGAACACCACATCATTTCTATTCAACCATAAGACCCAACATGTGGCCTTTATCCCCACTATTATTTGATTTCTTAGCCCTGGAGCAAATCTCCTTATCCAAGATCCAAACATGTGAGAAATGCTTTTTTGGTGGTTGAATGTTAAAGGTGATGAACAACGCATTCCAAACAAATCTAGCCACTGGGCAATCGAAGAAAAGGTGTTGAATATTTTCTTCTAAGCCACAAAAACTACACTTAGAATCTCTTTTTCACCTTCTCTTAATTAAATTGTCTTTTGTTAAAATTACCCATCCCTTTAAGTACCAAAGGAAAATTTTAATTTTCAGAGGCAATTTTGTTTCCAGAACACTTCTTTCCCTGAAATCTTCTCCCTTTTCATTATTTCTCTATACAACGACTGTGTTGTGAAAACTCTATTTTTTCTTATTTGCCAAATGAAGATATCCTTGTCGTTGTTTAGATTTACTGGTAGTACTAAAGAGACTAGCTTGAGCCACTCTTTTAGTCTCTCCCCCACTATTCCCCGCCTAAACGAAATATTCAGCGGAGTCGAGCTTAGTACACTAGCTACCGATACCCCTCTTCTCCTTACTATCTTGTACGGGTCTGGGAACTTCCGCATTAGCGGTTGTTGATCAATCCACACATCCTCCCAAAATCTTGTTTGGTGACCACCGTTTACCTTGAACTTTCTATGCTAGAGCAGCAAATCTTTCACCTCCATCAATCCGGACCAGAAATGGGAATCTCCTGGTCGTTTTTCTATTTGAGACAAGCATTTGTCCTTGACATACTTTTTTTAAGTACATCTTGCCATAAATCGTCTTCATTAAAAAGCTTGAACAACCATTTACTAAGTAAACACTTATTCTGAATTTCCAAATCTAAGATCTCTCGGTCCCCCATGCATCTTGGCTTACAAAGGATA